GCTGCCCCTCTGCCTGTGGGCGGTGAGGAGGCTGGCAGTCCACTGGGGGAAGCTGTTGTGTCCTCCTGAACTGCAAAAGCAAGAGATGTCCAGGGGAAAGAGGAGGTAGCTGTCAGGACTTGAACCCATACCCTTTCATCTGCCAACCAGTCCCAAGTGTCCTCTGGCTCAGGGAAACCTGCAGCGGGACAGGGGCCTGGGGTTAACTGTGCACAAGCCAGCCAAAACTCACCGAGCAAACCCATCTCTACAATGCCTGGGCCATGCTTGGGCACAAAGGCCTCCAAGTAGATATTGCAGAGGGGTGACTGGAACACAATAACTGATGGCTACCAAAGTAGTGCTACAAGGCGCAGGCCAGATAAGTGATCTTTGTGCTAGGTGCTGCACACATGTGGTGACAGTGACCAGGGCATCTCACCCGGGCTGCTGCCAGCTCAGAGCCCTCTCCCACCCCAACCACATGGCTGTACAGAGTTGGGTCCTATTCGGCCAGAGATCAAAGAAACCGAGGTTTAATCCTCTCACTGCAAATGCAGGACAGCCACTCTGAAACTCAGACCCAGGCCATGCCCAGCATGGAGCAAATTACCTGACCCAGCTGGGGCAGAGGCTCCTCTGGGTCACAAGGTGGCTTGTCCTTAGGCCCTGGGGGTTCCCTACGTCATGCCTCTGCTAGGGGCATTTTTGTAGGATGGGCCTGTGACTATTTCTGTCAGGAATCAAGATGTTTCTAAATGCCCCAGTGGACACCATCTTCTCCGAGGCCACTTCATCAACCTTCCCACACACTGCGACCTGGGGACAAGCCAAACATGTCACTGGAAAGAGGGAGAGATGGGGAGAGGAAACATCCCCCAGACACCTGGAGACAGGGATGGCCGCACAATGACCATGGTGAAAAGCTCTCTCCTGAAGCTTCTTGTCCTGCTGAAACCCCTGTACCACGGCTCCTGCCTTGGCATGGGTCTCTATGCCACATCCTCACTCCCAGCTCTGCACCTCCCAGGGCAGGATGGCCAGGAACTGCTCCAGCACCACCAGCTCCAGCATCTGCTCCAGCTGGTGCTGGCAAAACAGCAGCAGGTGGCTGCAAACCTCTCATGGCCACTCAGGCTGCCTGCAAGTGGAAGATCCTGATTTGCTGCACCATATCCCTGGTTGTCCCCTGGTGCCAGGCATGGTACACGTCGGGGTCAGTCTCTCACCACTCACGCGTGGAGCCTGGTGGCAGTGTCTTTTCTCCTGAGGGGTCTGTGGGAAAGGAGGCAATATCAAGCTTATGGGGGGGAGGTGTGTTCAGGACCACAACCTGCTTACCCAGCCCCACGGCCTGCCCAGCCCCAATACAGACTGCGGGGAAGGGGCTGGCTCCTGAACACTCCTCCATAAGACCCTCCACACTGCCTTTAGGAGGGTCCCCTGCCTCCCCACTGTACAAGGAGCATGTGACACAGAACCAGGCCAAGGGCACAGCTGCCCCTCCTCTCCCATGAGAAACGTCAAAGATGGCAGCAGCAGCTCCAGGTCATGCTGTGCAAACAGTGCAGCCCGGCACGGCTGTGCCCTGCCTCTGCCAGCACAGGCAGACCCCTCCGCTGCCTGCCTACCCCACTCACAGCCCTCCCTGCACCCGCCCTGCAGACAGACCCGCCTGTGCCCACTCACAGCCCCTCCTGGCTCCTAGCCCCACCTGCACCCCGCAGAGACAACCCCAGATGATTCTGGGCCGGTCCCCAACTACACCTGCACCTGCTCTCAGCCTCCAGCCTGCTCGCAGTTTGAGATCCCTCACAGGTAGCAGCTCCTGAGTCCCCCTTCCCTCGACCCTGACCCTTCCCACCAGCCTGGCCATTGCTTGGACCCTGCCTGGGAGGGCCCCACGTGTACCAGCCTGCAGCTCCTTTAGCTTTTGCACCCTCCGTTTCCCACCTTGCCCATGACCTCACTCCCTTCCCTGATTTCTTTTTTATTTGCTCCACAAACTCAGTAGAAGTGCCCATAGTGGCCTCCCTTAGCAAGGGAGGCTTATAGTTTCTTGGTGGGCATTGGCCCATGTCCTACCTTGGGCACACCAAACAGGACTGTTTGCAGCTCCAGCAGCTGCACACCAAATAGTCCCGACTGCAGCCCCCAGGACGGGAGGCTTTACCCTAGGCCGTAGGGGGAGCTGGGTCAGAGGGAGACCTGGCAGGGAGGGCGCCCCAGGGCAGGGAAGGGACAGCAGCAAAATGGGAACTTGGAAACCAACTGACTATGGCAGGAGAGATCCATCCGCCCAGCCAGAGCCCAGGCGGACGTGCAGCTGAGACCAGCAACATCTGCCCCTGGCCCTGCGGGGCAGCCTCAGGAGCAGCCGGTTGGGGGCCC